ACAAGGAAGGGCAGAGTTCAGGTCCCCATGCTGGGCGCTCCCGGCACATGAAAGGTCACTCCTCCCTGCTTGTAGCTGGTGTATTGAGGCAATGCAGCCCATGCATAGCACTGTCAGGTGTAAAAACAACTCACATATAAAGAGGACAATGGGAGCATACAGGCTCAGGTGGTGGGGACAGCTCTCTGTACTCCCCCACCCCATTATCTCCTTCCACAGCTGGGTAGAGATAGAGCCTTGAGCTCCACCTACCCAGGGGAAACCCTGGGTCTATAGCTCCAGCACCGAACAGTTCCAAACAGCCCCATCTCCTTCAGCTGGAAGGAGGGTGACTTTGAGGTAGGGTGTGTAAAGCCAGGAAGGGTGGGGACAGTAGTCTGCTGGGGGGGAGGGGGCTGTGTACGAGGGTGCAGGGAGGGAGGTCCTGGAAAGCTGTGCCTTCCAGAGCTGGAGAACCCTGGCGAGGTTACACCATGGGCTCCTAGGACTGGGAAAGGCTTTGCCCCTGGCAATGGCTATATTTCACACCGCTGCAACTAGTAGTTTAGCTCCACCAGTGGCAGCACTAAGTTACACAAGGTGCTGGCATTTCTACTACCACATCATCTAACTCTGCCTGGAGCAGGTCCACAGGACACAGTGGGTACAATTCTGGCACCCACCAGTCCCGTGTCTGCCCTTGAATCGCCATTTTGGGGGGGAGCAGGAAATTCTAGACCAATAAACCTAGTGTAGCAGCACCTGTGGGGCCACATTTTCAAAAGAGCGCAGGGCTAGATTTCCAAGCTCTGGGCACCCACCAGTGGAGCTGGATTTTCCAAAGAACTCAGCTCCCATTTAGGCACCTAAATATGGGGCAAGTTCTTGTAAGTGCTCAGCCCCCAGCTGCTGCCCCGTGACACCAATGGGCAGATTTCCAAAAGAGCTCAGTGTGCAATGTGCCCACCTCATCTGATTATGGTGCTTAAATGGCAGCTGGGCAATTCTGAAAATCTGGCTGCACGGGTGGGGGCTGAGCCCTTCTGAAAATTCTAGCCCTACCACGTGCATGTGTGCCTGCAGCGGTGTGCTGTGTGTTAGGTGTAGTGAGCTGGGGTGTGTCTGTCTCCCCCTCTGGTGGCATTTGTTACAGCAGCCTGATTATAGGCTCTATGTTTGGCAAGCGGAAGCCAGGAAAAGCCTGGATGGAAGATGATACCCACCCTTGCCAGCAGCTGCCGCTGGGTTAGCACTGTCTGGAACAGCAGTGCCATGGGGCCAGGAGCCGTCTCAGTCACAGCCTTGCCAAGCCACTTGGAGAGGGGAGTGTCCCTTGGCCTTCCTGGGGGCTGCCTGCCTTTCCTCATTCACTGCTTCCCATCCCACCTCTGCATCTGGAGGGGCTGCAGCACAGACTCACCCGTCTCCTTCCTGGGGTTAGACTAAACCCAATAAGTGCAGGACTGGGAGGTGGACCCTCCCCACCTTCACCCTGCTGGGGAGGAGGGAAGGGGGGCTGGGATGCCCAGGCAAGTCCTTAGATGATGAAAGCATCTCTGCTTAAGAGGATGCCAGTTTCAGTGAGAGCAGAGGGGTTTCTTTTATACAGCTGTTAGGAGCTGCACTGAACTGGTTTGGAGTTACCTTCCACTTGGGCTGCTCTGGTAGGCGTTGTGCTGTGCCGGTCCCTGCTGGGAGTCGCCTCTCCCTGGCTGCGCTGAGCTGGGCTTGATGGAAAGTTGCTCATTCTAGATTTGACAGTGACCCAATAGCATGCAATAGGGCTGTTGATGCTGAGAGGTCAGCTCTCTTGCTGAAGTAGCTGTGACAAGCACTGCTGCTGGGAGGCATGAGAGCCTGGCCCTGGGCAAAGGGAGGGAAGACACTTCACACTTTCTTTCAGAATGCAAATCAGGCATCCTGGACGCCTCACCCCAGCAGCTCTCCACTGTCTGCAGCAGGCCAAGGGGCAACAGCCTGCCGGACCGGCGGGTGCTGAGACCTATGAAGGGGGCAGAGAGCGGGCACAATTCAGGCAGGTCACTCACCCCTAGAGTGCTGCCCAGGTTGGGCTTCAGATTTGCTTTCGGTCTCACATGTGTGTCCATACAAATCTCTCCCCCTCTCCCCAGTGCAACCTGGCATAGCTGAAATAGCAAAGGGTGCTGCAGGTCAGGAGTGAGGGGTATCAGCAGAGCTGTGTGTGTGTTTGGGGAACCTGAGAATGGACCAACCGAATGGGTTGTAGGTCAGTATTCAGGTTTAGTGGAAGAATCTAGGCTCCGGAAGCTTACACAGCACCTGGCTTCACTCTGTGAGGCTGTGGCTGGCATGGTATATCCCTCACTTTCCAAGCTCATAGGCCACACCTGCCCCAATATAGTCCAGGAGAAAGGAAAGAAAGTTCAGAGCCTTTTAGGAGGCCGCAGTGGAACTGGTGGCCACCAGAGGGGAATGGAGAGTTCTCTGCTTGGATATTGCACATAGAAAACTGAAGCTGTTTGGCAACGACGCTGCTGTGCCTGAGAGCCGTGTGCGTGTGAGCCTCCCTTTCCACAGGGCCAGGAGCAGAGAGTAAGGGTACATCTATACCCAGCCGCTAGTTCGGCGGCTGGCAATCGAACTTCTGGGTTCGACTTA